CATCTCCAGCGGCAGGACCCCAGCAGGGGAGGGGACCCCGCCCCCAGCTCCCCACTGCTGGGAGGGGCTTCAGCTGCTGACCTGGCTGGCTGCATATGCAAATTACATGTGAAAACATTTGCATCGTATGTCCCACCCGGAGCTGCCTAAACCACTGTCCGTCCCCCCCAAGCAGCCCCCCCTCCTGCCTGCGCAGCCCCCCACTGCCTTCCCCACAACTCAGCCCCCCACTGCCTTCCCCACAACTCAGCCCCCTATTCCCTGCACAGCCCCCCACTCCCTTCCCCAGAACACAGCCCCCACATCCTCCCCACGCAGCCCCCCACTCCCTTCCCCAGAACACAGCACCCCCTCTTTTCCAGAACACAGCCCCCCGTTCCTCCCCGCGCAGCCCCCCACTGCCTTCCCCAAAACACAGACCTCATCCCCCCTGCGCAGCCCCCGCTGCCTTCCGCAGAACACAGCCCCCCACTGGCTTCCCCAAAATAGCCCCCCACATCCCCCTCGCGCAGCCCCCCCACTGCCTTCCCCAGAACACAGCCCCCCCCAGTGCAGCCCAGCACTCACCTGCAGGAGGCAGGCTAGGGGGCTGGAGCTGCCCAGGGGGCTCAGGACGGGGGGCTGGCCCTGGAAGAGCTGGAAGCCCAGGGGCGCTGGCAGGGCAGGAGGCAGCAGGTGCGGCTGGCTCTGGAGCAGGGGGCTCCCGGCAGCCCCCAGGGGGCTCAGCGCCGACAGGTCACCTGGGGGGGAAGAGAGTCAGGGGGGGCAGGTCCTGGGGAGGGCCCTGCTCCCGAGGGCTGGGCTGCCTCACCTCAGGGACCCCCCCCCGCGAACGCGGCCCCACTCACCCAGCAGCGCAGCACTCAGCAGCGGGCTGACCAGCGGGGGCAGCAGCGGGTGGAGCCTCCCGGAGGAGCTGGGGGGCACCGGGGCGCTGCCGAAGGCGCCAGGGGACTCGGGGGCCTCAGTAGTCGTGGGCGTCGTGCCGGTCGAGGTAGGTGCCATGGGGGAGCCGGCGACGCCAGGCTGGGGGGCAGAAGGTCGCATCAGGTCCGAGAGAGCAGGGCTGGGATGACGCCCGCAGCCCCCCACTGCCCCAGCCCCAAAAGCAGAGCCGGGCTGAGGTGACGCCCCCCACCCTCAGACATGGCCACGGAGGGGCCGAGTGCTTCTTCCCCCCCCAGCACGGAGACACGCCACCTGCCCACTTGAGGGGGGAGCTGGCAGCCCCAAGATACCCACCCCTGGGGCCCGGCCTTACCTGGGCGTCGGGGGCAGCCAGGCCGGCAGCCAGCAGCGCCGAGTTTAAAGCTATGACGGCGGGCGAGGCGGGCAGCGCCGGGAAGAGCAGGGGCTGCAGGGGCCCGTCCGGGAGGTCCCCCTGGCAGGGCGGGTCGGGCAGGGGCAGCAGGGCCGGGAGGAGGCCGCCGGGCTGCTGGAGCAGGTCCAGGCCGGGCAGGCCGAGGCCCCCCAGGGGCAGCAGGGGCGACTGAGGCTGGCTCTGTAGCAGTGAGGCCATGAGCAGGGTCTGCAGCACCTGCCCCTCGGGCTCGCCCGGCAGGCCCAGGCCGGGCAGCGGCGCCTCCCCCTGCCCCGGGCAGCCCAGCAGCTGCGGCTGGCTCAGGGCCAGGGAGAAGGGCAAGGAGCCGAGGAAGCCGCCCTGGAGGAGGCCAGGGGGCAGGGAGCCGAGGAAGGGCAGCACCTGCTCCTGGCCCAGGAAGGGGAAGGGCTCGGGGGCCGGGGGTGGCAGGCCCCGCTGGCCCCCCGGGCTGCCCTCCCCGGCGCCGCTGCTGGGGCTGGAGCCCGAGGCTGCTTTGGTGGTGGCACCTGCAAGGGAGAAGGGCTGGGTCAGAGGGGACCGGTGGGTGCTGCCCCCCAGCACGTGCCGCAGCTCTCCCACCACCCAACCCCGCCCTGCCGGGGTTCCCACGAGCCAACCCCATCCCTTGCCCGGCTTCTCCCCCCCTGCCTCCCCCTCGCCCGGCTAGCAGCCAGCGGCTGCCCCTCCCACCGTGGGTCCCTACCTGCCGCGGTGCTGGGGGCGGGCGCTTTCGGCTGGGGGGGGCTCCCTGAGGCCAGGTCGGAGGAGGCGGAGGCTAGCTGGTTGAAGAGGCTGAGGAGTTGGCTGTTGAAGTCCTGGAAGGAGGGCAGGAGGCCGGGGGGGCTGTCGCCCAGGGGCAGTGGGGGCAGGCCGGGCGGCTGGGCACCCAGCAGGCTCAACAGGGACGACAGCGGCTGGCTGGGGGCCAGGGGGCTGCCCTTGGCCTCTCCGGGCGGTGGGGCGCCCCCCGGGGGCGGCCGGGCCGGCTGCTCTCTGGGCCGGGCCCGGTGGGCGGGGGCCTCCTCCGGGCCGGCCGGGCCCTGCTGCGAGTCCTTCAGCAGGCGCAGCACGGTGGGCGCGCGGCGCTGGCGCCGGGGCTTGGGCAGCGCCCGCCCGCCCACCACAGAGAGCAGCACGTTGGAGCCCAGCACGCGCCCGGGTAAAGTGCTAGAGGGGGGCTCGTCGGCGCGCCGCTGGCTGGCCAGCTGGGCCTTGGCGGCCGCACTCAGCAGGCTGCTGGCGGGGAAGGAGGGGGCGCCCGGTTGCTGAAGCAGTTGGCTCAGGGGCAGGCCCAGGAAGCCGGGCGGCCCCTTGCCCTCGGGCACGGCGCCTAAGGGCACTGGTGGGTTATTGCTGCTTTGGTTGGCTAAGGCATTGCTGGGGAGCGCCTCGTCCTTGCAGGGTTGGGGGGCCCCTGCAGGGGGCCGGGGGCCCAGTGGGGGCCCCCCGGGCTCCGAGGAGGTGGAGGAGGGGCGGGAGCACTGGGGGGACAGCTCGGTGCTGCCCCCTGGCAACGAGACGGAGGAGAGCGTGGTGGAGGCTGGCAGCCTGCTGAGGGAGGCGCCTGCGGGCAGCGGGCAGGCACGGCTGCTCCAGGCGGGGGCCCCCTCGGGGGGCGGCGTGGCGGGGACCGGAGGCTTCCCCTGCGGGCTGGGGGCAGCAGGTGGCCCCATCTCGTCCGGTGGGGGGAAGGGCCGGGGGGCCGCGTCCAGGGGCTCCAGCCCAAAGCTCGGCAGGGGGAAGGCCGGGCGCCCTGGGTAGGCGCCGTTGGAGGAGCTGGCACAGGGCGTCCTGCCCGGGAAGACGTCCCCGAAGAGGGCGCTGTGGTGACGTGGGAAGGACGAGGCCTGGCTGGGCCATGTGCTGCTGGGCCGGTCTCCGGGGCAGGCCGGGCAGGGATCCGCTGGGGCCTTCTCCACGGGCTTGGGCTTGCTGGGACCCTCGGCCTCCGGGCCGGGCGTTCTGCCGAAAGGCGCTGGTTGCTGGCGGCTGGCGATGCCCGAGTGGTACGTCTGGCTCAGCCCGGCCCCTGCAACAAACCGCAGGGGGGGCTCAGCACCGGGGGAGGGGCAGGAGTGAAGGATGGGCCTTGGGGAGCCCACACAGGCCGGGGGAGTGGGGGGGGAAATGGGGTCGGGGGGGGAGGGGCACAGACAGGCCAAGGGGGGCGGGGGGCACAGATGAGCCGAGGGGGAGGATGGGGCCGGGGGGGGGAGAGGAGGGGCTCCTGGGGGGGGAACAGACTGGCTGAGGGGGGGGGAGAAGGAGCTCTGGGGGGAACAGACTGGCTGAGGGGGAGGAGAGGAGAGGATGGGCCCAGGGGCGGGGGGGGGAGGGCCCGGGGGCTGCCTGTTACCTGGGCCCAGGCGTGGCAGGCCCAGGGGCGCGGTGCTCTCCATGCTGCGGTACAGGGTGGCCATGGCAACAGTTTTCCGGCGGTGGTTGCACAGCTTGGTCATGTCCTGGTCGCCCCGGGCCCGGCCCCCCCCGCGGCACCACCACGGCCACCGGGTTGAAGTTGAAAACCTGCCGGGGGGAGAAGAGGATGTCACAGCCGCACCCTGGGGACTGAGGGGAACCGGTAGAGCTGGAGCGGGGGGGGAACCCAGGGCTGGGCTAGCAGGGGGCTGCGGTCGGGAGTGAGGGGCACCGGCAGAGCTGGGGGTGGGGCACTTCCCCATCCCCTGCCCACTCTGACCCTCAGTCCTGACCAACAGCAGCTGCCAAGGAGGACAAGGAAGCCGAGCCCAGGGCAGGCCCCTTCGCATGGGGCGAATCACCCAACTGGAGTTGGGTTCCCCCAGGCTGCAGCCCCCAGCCACTGGGAAGCAGGAGGGTGAGACCCCCAGGGGCATCATTCCCCCAGGCCCTCCCACCTGGACTCCTGGGCCCCCAGCCTGCCTGGGCCTCAGGCCCCCTGGTCCCCTTGCCCCCCGCCCGGACTCCAAGCCCCCTGTCCCCCAGTCTGCCTTGGCCCCAGGCCCCCTGGCCACTCCGGTACCTTGTGCACGTTGAGCGGACACTCCAGGCCGCACTTGCAGGTGCCGTCTGTCAAGAGGTAGGCGCGGGTCTGCTCCAGCGAGGTGAGGTTCGTGCCACTAGGACTGAGAGAGGACGGGGGGAGGGGTCAGGACAGGCTGTCGGGCCCGGGGTGGGGGGCTGCAGTGCCACCATCGAGGGGGAAGCCCTACCTGATATAGCGCACGGCGCCCTCCTCCACCTTCCGCTGCCAGCCCACAGGCACGGCCACCGGGCACCCACCTGGATCTCCGCCAGCGGGCTCATCACCACCATTCATTGTGCCCCGGCCTCGCTCGGAAACCTGCGGAGGCACTGGGTTAGCAGGGGACAGACAGACAGGCCCCGCCAAGCAGCAAGGGGAGGGGTTATGGGACCCAGTGGGAGGGGCTAAGTGGGAATGGTTATGGGACCCAGTGGGAGGGGTTATGAGATGGGGTGGGGCTGGATCCAGCTGCCCAAAGACTCCTGGGAGCAGGAACCAGACAGTCTGAGCAAGCAAAGGGGTCACCCTGCTCCCCTCAGGGGACAGCCAGGGAGTGACTCACAGGGACGCCTAGGGAGCTGCAGGTCGGGAGTGAGGGGCACCGGCAGAGCTGGGGGGAGCTCAGGGCTGGGCTAGCAGGGGGCTGCAGGTTGGGAGTGAGGGGCACCGGCAGAGCTGGGGGTCTGGAGATCCCAGGGCTGGGCTAGCAGGGGCTGTGGGTCGGGAGTGAGGGGCACCAGCAGAGCTGGGGGTGGGGAGCCCAGGGATGGGCTAGCAGGGGGCTGCGGGTTGGGAGTGAGAGGCATCAGAAGCCTGCATGTTCTCATCCCCATGCTCCCCAGACCTGTAATCCCCCTCCGGTTAATCCCCGGCCGCGCCTGACCTACTAACCACTGCCCGGGCCCTGCAGCGAGAAGGCAAACAGCTGCTGGCTCCTTTAATCCCCACCGGGCCCCGGCGCGGGGGCCGGGCCCGGCTCCTACCTGTTCATGGCTGCGAACATGCTGGCGTTAAGTGCGTGCACGCTGCCCTCCTGTGCTCATGGCCAGGCACCCTCGCCCGGGAAGCGCCGGCGGCTCCGTCCTCCGCAGCTGCGAGTTCGCCGCAGCCGATACTAGCCCACGCCTGGAAGAAGGGAAGGAGGGTCCCGCCTCAGCAGGGTGAACAGCCCCCATGGCCCCCGGGGCAGGGCCTAGGGCCCGGCACAGAGACCTGGTTCCTCCCTGCCGGGGTCTGAGCTCAGGCCCGTGCCTGGGGGGCTTGGCTCCTGGGCACAGGGACCCTCACTGCTATCTCCGGGCTACAGACAGGGTCACAGACACAGAAGGGAGAAGGGGGTTAGTTGGACGGCACACAGAGTCAGAGCTGCGGAGAGAACCCAGGAGTCCTGGCTCCAGCCCCCTGCTTGAACCCCGATCCCGGAGCTAGGGCGAGACCCAGGATCCTGGCTCCCGTCCCTCCCCTGGGCGAGCTAAAGAGGCGCCCAGGTCAAGGCAGGGGCCGTGTCTTCTCCCGCAATGGGAGGGGGTCGCTCGAGTGACCTCGGGGAGCCACCCTGGAGCTGCGGGGTCCAAGCGCCCCAGCGAGCCCAGAACCTGCCTCCTGAGGGCTACAGCTCAGCAGCGTTTCTGCTGCGAAATGCACCAGAAGCCTCCGAAACCGGTCCCCACCGCGAGCCGGTCAGGTCCACCCGAGCCGGGCAGCAGCAGGAGAGGCAGGGTTTACCCCCGGCTCGGGGCCGCGCCGGATTCTCGCGCTAGCTCTGGGGCTCAAAATGCAAACCGAGGGGCTGGGAGACCGTGAGCTCAGAGGTGGGAAGCCGGGACGCTCATGCAGCCCTCTCTGCCCAAATGCCGAGGCGAGGGGCCTGGGATGGAAGGACGGCTCCGCCTTTGGGATTCGGCACAACCTGATAGACATGGCACGTGCCCAACCTAACAGCGCCCCAGAGATGATGCCCCCCACGCCAAGGGACGCTGCCAGGATCGGGGCCCTGTCAGATTTCTGACACTGGATAAAAACACAGGGAGACTCAATTAATAGCATTTCCAGCCCCACCCCCCAGGGGTCTTTGGGGAGTGTTAAAACAGCTGCCACATCCCACCCCAGAGGTAGCTGCATTTCAGTGTCAGGCCCAGCGACTCCCATGTGGGACAGCAGGGGCTGGGGAGGAGGGTTCAGGGAAGCAGCTGGTTGCGGGGTCCCGGGAGTCCTGCAGGGACAGCGTCTATTAGCGCCCAACAAGGCCCAGGGAGGGGCACTATACACCAGCGGCACCTCTGGACCCGGGAGTGGGAGAAAACGGCTCAAGCTGCTAAATAAGCCGAGCCCCAAAGGTCCAGGGCTGCTGTCCCCACCCTGAACCTGCTGCGGGACTCCAGCCTCCCGCAGGCCAGGAGCCACGGGGTCCCAGCACGCCCCGGGGCGCAGCCCAGCAGCCCTTAGCGCCACGCTGCAGGCCCCCGGCTCAGACCAAGGGCCGGCAGCGCCAAGCCCACAGTCCCTGCCAGGGGGCTGCCAGCTGCGACGGACACTAGAGAGACTCACCCCCCAGCCCGCGGCCCCAGGGATCAGGCCAGGATGGCATCGATCCCCCGCGCCAGGCGCTGTACGCGCACAGATGCGACCCGGTCCCCAGGGAGTTTCCGATCTACATAGGTGGCAGGAGGGAGTCCCATGGTCCAGGCTCGCGGGCAACAGAGCCCAGGACCCCCTGCGCTGGGCTCCACGCCCCCATGGGGCTGCCGGGCCCCTGGCTACGGGTCGCGGGGCCCCCTCCCCATCTCACGGGCACCAGCCACCGTCCAGGGGGCGGGACAAAGCCAGGACCGGCAGCCGGGGGCGCAGGGACCTCCCGGGCTGGCCCCGCCCCGTGTCCGTGCAGCGCCGGGCACAAGGGAGCCCCGCGGGACCCGCCGGGCTGGGCTCGCTGCCCCCGGACCCCCAGCGGCGGGGCGGGGCGGGACCCCCCGGCGGGGCCCTGCAGGGGGGCTGCCCCCCCCCGGCCGTGCAGGGAGCGGCCCCGCCCGCTCGCGGGGAGCAGCCGGAGCCCCGCGGCGGGGGGGGCGGGGGGAGCCCGGGCCCTACCTCGGCTCATGGCGGGGCGGGGGGGTCTCGCGGCGGCCCCTCGCGCCCTCCCCCCTCCGGAGCGGAGCCAGTGCCAGGAAGAGGAGGGGGCAGAGCAGGGAGCTTCCTCCCGGGCATGCGCAGTGGGGGCCAGGGGCAGCCCTGGGGATTCCGTTCCCAGCATGCCCCGCGCCCCAGGGCGGAGGGGTTGCTCTCCCAGCATGCACCGGGCTCCGGGGAAAACCCGGGGTGGGCTCCTCGGGCCCCGGCCCCCCCCCTCCCCGGCTGTTCCATGGCCCCGGGCAGGGATCGGGAGAGGGCGGGGGGCACCACTGGGGCAGCCCCCCAGACACGGGGGTGGGAGGACATCCCTGGGGCAGCCTCCAACACTGGGACAGTCCCCCGGACACTGGGGGTGGGGAGCCAGG